TATGGTCTCTTGTTAGCTCTACTGTTAGCAATGCATGGGGAATTCTAGTTACAATCTGTCATTTGGTCATCCTTATCATTCTGACTGGTGTCATCATGAGTCAATTTTCATTTGGAAAGAAACTCTGTAACAAACTTTTTGCATTTTGTGAAAACAGATTTAAGGCACATGTACATGTTCGTCAGAAGCAACTAGAAGAATGTGATTCTTTCTATCAGCCATGTAACGAGAGAGAACCACTTCTTAACTACTAATTATTGTTTAGTTTTAATTATAGATAGTTACTGTAGTTAGCCCAGTAATAATTCCTTTAAACTTTTAATATTGTTATCAATTAGTACATACATTCTGTGCAGAAACTAAGATGAACCAAGTTTTAATAAAGTTACAACACATGCATTTTCACGACTCATAATGTGACACACAGAGAATGGCTAATATACTTAACACGGTTTTAATTAAAATGATTTGCATCTCCAAATAGAAAGTTATTTTCCTCATTCACTGTTATCTTTAAAGCTGTTTTGTGATTTTATTTATCAATGAACAAACTTTGCATACTTATTCAAAGCAAAAATGATTTACATTTAGTATGACAGTTACTTTGACACTTACTGTTAGTATGATATCAACTTTTAGTATGATGATTACTTGAAATCATTCGCTGGATAACGGATGTTCAAATAACTCCAAAAACTGTATGTCTGTTGGAATAAGTTCAAAATTCCTTTTCATATACATAAGGATATAAGAAAGTAATAAAAACTGAAGGCGATTTTAGAATAGATACAATAGAATGCAACATAAGACCAAACTGGGACTGGTCTTATGCTGTGATGCAAAGGTTGAGTTATGCATTGTAAAGTGTAAACCTAGCTTTAGTAGTATAGTGCATACCAGAATACTAATGGTGGGACTACCTTCACTAACAGACACAATCTGAGATTAGTATGTGCAGGTCAAAAATTTGGTTGCTTGTTAATTTATACGCAACTTATAGTGATATAATAATTGAAAGATGTAAAAAAAATTTTAAAATGTGACACACAATTAAAATATGGTGAAGAAATTATCAGTCAATAATAACAGCTACATGTCCAAAACTTTATAATAATAAAAAAACTGATACAATTAATATAATATCTAACTCACTCGCTTTTTAAAAATGTTATTAAAAAACATGAATTTCTTCTCTTTCTGTTTCATAAAGACCATCATCCAAAGTCAGTAAGAACTACAAAAATACAAAATACATAATCTACAGCTTGTGCTATATTGATACATGTGGAAAGTTTGAGCAAATAATTTTTGAGTTATGAGTATTTTAAAAAATGAGCCAATTTAAAAAAAAGCAAAGGCTATTATAGCCCATGGTTTTTTCTAAAAAATAGCTCCAAAAATGTCACAAATTTTTATTACATTTTCTGATACATATTGATGTCCTTATGCTATGTGGAAAGTTTGAGCTGTTTCTGACAAATAATTTTTGAGTTATGAGCATTTTAAAAAATGAGCCCATTTTTGAAAAAAGCAAAGGCTATAGCCCATGGTTATTTTTCTAAAAAATGAGTCCAAAAACACCACAAATTTTTATTACATTTTCTGATATATATTGATGTCCTTATGCTATGTGGAAAGTTTGAGCAGTTTCTGACAAATAATTTTTGAGTTATGAGTATTTAAAAAAATGAGAGAATTATTGAAAAAAGCAAAGGGTATAGCCCATGGTTTTTTCTAAAAAATGGCTCCAAAAACACCACAAATTTTTATTACATTTTTTGATACATATTGATGTCCTTATGCTATGTGGAAAGTTTGAGCTGTTTCTGACAAATAATTTTTGAGTTATGAGTATTTAAAAACGAGCCAATTTTTGAAAAAAAGCAAAGGCTATAGCCCATGGTTTTTTCTAAAAAATGGCTCCAAAAACACCACAAATTTTTATTACATTTTCTGATGCATATTGATGTCCTTATGCTATGTGGAAAGTTTGAGCTGTTTTTGACAAATATTTTTTGAGTTATGAGTATTTTTTAAAATGAGCCAATTTTTGAAAAAAAGCAAAGGCTATAGCCCATGGTTTTTCTTTAAAATGGCTCCAAAACACCACAAATTTTTATTACATTTTCTGATACATATTGATGTCCTTATGCTATGTGGAAAGTTTGAGCTGTTTCTGACAAATAATTTTTGAGTTATGAATATTTTAAAAAATGAGCCAATTTAAAAAAAAAGCAAAGGCTATAGCCCATAGTTTTTTCTAAAATCGGCTCCAAAAACACCACAAATTTTTATTACATTTTCTGATACATATTGATGTCCTTATGCTATGTGGAAAGTTTGAGCTGTTTCTGAAAAATAGTTTTTGAGTTATCAGCATTTTAAAAACATGCCAATTTTTGAAAAAAAGCATATACTAGGCTATAGCTCATGGTTGCTCCAAAATTATCACCAATATAGTTCACACATCAGAAAAATTACAATTAACATTCTAAAGTATATTTTATCTGGACACTCATATTAAAAGTATAATACTGATTATAAGTCTAGAAACTCACCAGAAATGCAAAGAACATTCCAGCTGCAGAAAGAAAATGCCAAATATCATGATAGTCATAAAACTCAAGAAGCACACATTTGTGATTAAGTGACCTTGAAGCAGCAGGAGTATCCTACAATAAGCAATCACACACTATCATCATAACTGTAGCTTTAAAAGCATAGCATAACATTTAGTGCAAATAGAAAATGCATTATATACATGTATATGCACTTACTTCCCATTGGGATACATTATTAAAGTAGAATGCAAAAGCCATACTCCAAGATACAGCCACAGCAATGAGGAACACTACTGGTTTAACTGTCCATTTCTCCAAATACAAGATCTGAAATTAATAATACATAGTTTTACACACGCTCACATTATCATAGTGACTTACTTTACTTATGACATAAAATCCCATTAACAACAATGCATTAGCAATGAACAGGGCCAAAACAATACTCGCAATACCAGTTGAGCCCTCAACTACAAACACTATGCCACTGTGGTGTGTGCATGTGGAATGAGAATAATTTTTATTATACAAAATAATAATTTTCCCACAATTAGCACATGTGTTAGTTGAACAATTTTTATTAGCAAAATAGAATGGGCAAAAATTATTTGACATTATTTTGCTGTTTAAAAAATTACATGTACCTGTAACATGGTACATCTACATGTACATGGTTGGGATGGTTACAACAGAATGAAAGGGTGAGGCTACAAAGATGGTGAGAGAAACGGCATGTAATTTTAGGTCTTATAGGAATGACCTGCAGGGCTTAAAGCAAAAACTCATTCTACATGTTGACCAAAACTGCCATAACAACACTTACACAATAACATTCATAATAACAAAAATCCATCCTTTAATAAATCGTCCCTGCAACAATAACAAAAAATAATAATAAATAATATTAGTAATAATCTCTTAATATACCTTATGTTTTGGTCTACAGTGATTATTAAAGATTTTTCGCAGTTCTCTCATACCTACAAGGATAGAGAATACACAATGATGACATTAATATGCACCTACATGTAACTGTAGCTTACTTATGCAATGGTCCTTCCGACAGCCAAGATAAAAATAATATGTTACACTAAAAGATGCAACGATCAAAAGAAAAATGAAGAAAAGAACAAGCTTTGTCCCCAAAGTAATATTTGGCTTATTTCTGGACTCTTCTACCTAATGAATAAAATATAGTTTTACATGCTTACAGTGTTTCCTCAAGCACATATTAGAAATCAAATACAATAGTACTGGGAAAAATGGTGAATATCATTAAAAAGTAATAGACATAAATTACTATTATAAGCATTTACTTGATGCATGACATAAAAACATGTCAGAAAATGTAATAAAAATTGAGATTCCTAGCCTAGCTACTTTTGATGAAATATCCTGTACTACAGTACATGGTTTTTGACCCAATTTTTGAGCAAAAAGAGAATTCTCTCCTAGCCAATGGTCATTGGCCCAAATTTTGAGCAACTTTAAAAATTCATAACAAATTCAAACTTGATCCAAATTAGCTCAAACTTTCTACACAACATAAGAACATGTATACCCATCAGAAACATTATTAAAAAGAAGAATTCTTTCCTAGCCATTTTTGATAAAATTTGGCCCAAGACCAAAAGCAAAAAATTCATTGGTCCAATTTTTGAGCAAGTTTTAAAATATACATAAAAAATCTAAAATTGATTGTAATCAGCTCAAAGTTGATACACAACCTGAGGACATGCATGTGTATCAGAAAAAATTTAAATAATTTTTGTCAGTACAGGGTCTTAGGCCCAATTTTTGAGCAACTAAACAATCCACTGACATGACAAAAAATTTAAAATAAAAAAATTTAAAAAATAATAATAATAATAATAATTAGAATAAGAGAAAATAAAAAAAATAAATAAGAGAAAATAAGAATTTTAAAAGATAATAAAATTAAAAAAAAACACTCAGAGTACTATCATTTATTTATCATCATAGTCATTACAAGGAATTAAAAATGCCAAAACTACAAAATACTAAGAACATTTAAAATATATATTAGCAACCAAATACTAATACTTATATTGTGGTAGACTTACAATCCCAATAAATGTTATCAGGACAATGACTGCAAAACAGAGCAACGAGATAAAAGCATTATAATAGAGATGAGGGTGACGAGCTTGTATAATATTTATTATCAGGAGACCACTTATAATGAACATGAATGCAGTGTCTATAGAAAATTAAAATAAAAACAATAATTACATGTAAAAGGATATGAAGGGGTAAAGGTAATAGAAATTAATAGTACCAAATTGAAAGTCGAAATGACTTGGGCAGATGTGATAAAAAGCACTCATGAAGCCTTCAGCAATCAATGCAGAACCTAAGAAAATAAAGAAATAAAAATCAATAATTAAATTCAAAGAAGTTTATAGTGGAAGCAAAATTAATACATATATCAAAGCACATGAATATAATACACTACAAATGGGACTAACTAAACAGATGAGGTGTGTTCATGTATAGTGTGTGGTCACATTAAACAAACTACTCATCAATCTGAGGTGGACCAATTTTAGCAAAAGATCATAGAACACTGTACAAAGTTTTAAAATTGGCTCAACTAATTGTATGGCATAGTGTTGTTGGTATGTACATACATCAAATAACATTTACATGTAACTGCATTGCCTACCCATAGCATAATAGGTACCAAAAAACTGAACAAGACCCTCATTATTGTCTTCCACTTCCTCCTTGCGACGTCTATATTCATTGCGATTTCTTTTATAAAAACATATAAAAGATAATGAAATATGTGTAATAAAAAAGGGTAAGAGCATACTTGATAGCCACTATTATGAGGAATGATATTCCAAGAATAATGTAACCAACATTGCTCCAATTATTATTGAATGCACTAAAGTAAAAAAAAAAGGAAAAATACCGTATAGCTGGTGATTTTGAGAAGGGGAAATTTGGTGAATTTCGCATTTTGATAGACATTCATCAAAATTAAACCTGCCATTTTAAACCATTATGTGCATGCTCAATGGCACATGGCTACAAACAAGCGAAATGAAAAACACACCAATAATAAAAAATTAGCAATTCGGCAAAATTTTACTTCTTCAAAAATACCAGCTATACAGGTACATGCATAATAAAGGATGCACAAGTAAGAAATAGATTATTAACAAGAGACATGTGACAGACAAAGGGGAAGTCAACAGTATTGATAGAGTATGCTAACAGTAGTATATGACACTACCTTAGCGAGCCAAAGTGTTTGGAACACTCAAAGTTATAGTAGCACAAATCTTCATTCCCACCTTTATCAAGCAACTGGAAGAGATTAGATCAATAAATGAGTAATGAGTTATGACAACTAACCAACTGCTTTACTAGCACTAACTGGAAGGCAGGCAATCCATAAAATATACCAACAGTTATAATGTTCCTAAATCAAAAAAAATTTTGTGTGCTTTTCTCATAAATTTATATCTCTCTTAACCAAATCCTGTTTTATTACAATTGATGTAAGGCTTAACCATTCTAGCTGCTAATAAGCACCAGATGGACACAAGTATTATTCCAACAAAAAATGCCATGCATGTACCTTAAAGTAGCAATTAATACATACCGTATTTCCTTAAATAAAAGCCCGGGCGTCTATTTCCTAAAATGGCATTTGGATCTCAAAAAATATATAAACAATAAAAAAAAGCTTTGGCCTAGAGCAGGATTCAACCCGTAACCTCATGCTTTTGACTTCTGAAGCTTCAGACATTATCTACAAGGCTACTGAGTTACTCCTGGGGTAATGTGGCGTATTTGTAGTTAAATTGTATTGCTACCCCGGCATTTATTCAAATGCAGCTTCTATTTAAGGATTTATGGTACATAATCTTACACAAAAATATCACACAAGCATAAATTGTACTTTATGTACCATAAATATCCGTAATAATATCCTTTTAATTCGGTTTTTTTGATAATACTAGAAACTTTCTTATAGCTATATCCTCCTTCAATCTAATTAATCAACAAATTATATTATTATTAACATGTGTATTTCATTCTTACAAGATTTGGGTTCCTATAATCCGTAGATTCTATAAGCTCTATGCACAGAAAAATCAATATTACAAGTCTGTGCAATATTAATTTTTGTGCTTACCTGAATCTTCATCAGTCACTGTCGTGGGGTGCTCATTTTGAATAGGGGGTGGCAAGATTGGCTTCTTTAAACAAAAAAGTGGTCGAAATGTAACAGTCCTATTACAAAAAATAGAAGTTTGATGAAAATAGCAGCAAAACAGTTTTTTATGTACGTACTTGTGACAACAACAAGAACAAGAGAAAATGGAGATAGTAACGGCCCCGATAATAACAAATAATATAACAGGAAAAGAAATAGCAAATTTGTAGGCAGTCGCTAAAAGGAATTGAGAAGAGGCAAATGCAAACCAAAAAGAACAGTATTGCATACCAGTGTTTTCTTCTGAAACGCTGATGGTGTAATATTGATGATGCTCATCGTCGGAGTCATCATCAGCTCCAGTGATACAGCCTGATGGTGGCTTCAATGCCACCACAACATAGAACTCTGAATATTTCTATTAGTGGAAACAAGACATGTGTGAATTTTAGAAGGTTAAAAGTTTCGCTTATATACAAAATCATTATGCTTACCTTTTTACTAACAAATATAGATGAAAGATTCGACATTGTTTGATAAATGACTCCCTCCCTATCAGTCATGACATTAGCGTTGGACAAATCAAAAGAAAACTATAAAAACAGTCACCTGAGACTAAGTATATAGTGCTACTTTAACTTACTGTTGTACGTACAGATACAAGAGCACAGTTATTACTGCCTCTAGGTGACTTTACTCTCAATCGCACATGATCAATATCACTGGGAAATTGATAGTAATATACCTAATGTACATGTATATGAACATGCACATATATGTAGGCAGTTCTGTTCACTTACTGCAGGAGAGTTAGCACCAACAGAAAAACTTAATGGAGAATCAATCCTAAAAAATACAAAATGACTTATTGATAACTGATTAAACTTGATTAACATTATGCACAAATGTACCATATAGCAGGATTTATTGGTGGTGAGAAATGTTGACAAAATTGATACTTGATAGGTTATATAGGTCTTTGGGTTAAATTTTATCATCTGATTTATCTCTCATCATGGTACCATATGACAGCCGAGTATATATATACATGTATTACAAAATGTAATAAATGTCTTAGCAATTTTTGATGAAATTTTTGGCCAAAAACCAGTACAGAGACTTTAGCTCATTTTTTTATTTTGTAAAAAGTAAGTAATTTTCACCTAAAATTGAGTGCAATTTCGCCTAAAATAGGCAGAAAGTAAGTAATTTTCAATTAAAAGGAGTGACTATAGTTTGTATTTAAACATTCCTCTATTTTTAGACGACATAGACACTAACTTAATTATTGGGAAAGTCGGGGAAGGCAAAAAAACAATTTAGTCTCTAGCCAATATATCCTGCTATACAGTGTATGCACTTTTATCTCCCATTCTTTTCCCCAATGATATCGCCTTTCTCTCCCTCCCTCCCTCCCTCCCTCTCTCTCTCTCTCTCTCTCTCTCTCTCTCTCTCACTCTCTC